TTAAAGGTATTCAGTGCGTAAAATCCCAGGACGCATATGTGCGTCGCCCGGATCCAAAGGGTTAAGGATCGCCTTCTAATAACACTTTTATGGTAAAAGCTTATCATTTTATGCTAATTACTAATTTCATTTTTGAGTTGCTCAGCAATTCGAAAATTAAATGTATCTAACTTTTTCGGCCTAGTAATAGCTGCCAGGTAGGTCCGGTTACTGATTCACAAGCTGATCTTGTCTCTTTTATTTCATATTAAACTTCCATCGTGAATAAAAGATCATGGTCTTGTACTATGGCTTTTGCAAATATAACTTGGAGATGGCCTTTTATTCTAGAGACCACGGGAGAAAACGGGGGGGGGGGGGGGGGAGGGCGGTTAGCATACTATGGAATTTAAAACCGGTAAATACCGCCGTATAGCGACTTGCGGTTATCGAAGTGACAGGGCAGTATTTTTCCAGGAAATTGAGGGGAAATTAAAATAACACTCTGCTAACCGCGATTCCCTTCGAGAATTTGTCCGCTAGTATTAGTGGAACTTGACAACTGATGCTTTTGAGATCAAAGACACTTTCAGTTTCCCTTGGATGTTTCGCAATGGCTTGATCAATATTAGTTTCTGTCACAACTTATCAACAATATTTCAAATTGTAGTCAATAAATCAGAGTGAGCTGCATAGAATGTCGATAATTTCTCCCCATTCCTTACAAATAAATTAATGTGATTTGTGAATGTGAAGTGATACATGGTATCAGAGGTCCAAACAGGCCCACTTTTTGAAGGCCTGGCCTGCCTGTGACAGGCTTACATCTCTCCTAGCCTGCCTGTGCCTGTTCTCTAATTTCCTCGGCCTGGCCTGCCTGCCTGTCATTTTCTCAGGCTTGCCTGAACCTACCTGTCTAGGCCTGTGAATTTTTTTCACGCCAATATCATGATAAAAGTACCATAGAAAGAAGTAATAATCTTCATAAAAAGTCGTATTAGTCACTGAATTCAATCTACATCACTACATTCAAAAGTCTCTAACTGAAAAGTCCATGAGAATTGTCAGCTTTCCAAATAAAGAAAGGTATCATGCTTCTCTATAATTGAGAGCATGTGAAACTAAGGGTAGAACAAAGACTGTTCATTTCCAAAGGTACTTCTAGTTAGACGGAGTATAGAAAAGCATAGTTTTTAGTTCACTTACAAAACGTTTTCTCGAAAGAACGATCAATTTCTAGTCAAAATCGCTCGGCGAAAATTGGCATCGTTCTGAATAAGCAAGTAACTTCATTAAAGAGACAGCTACAATGCCTACCTATAGAAACTGTGGACACACTTTCATGGAAAAAGTAATTCATGTAAAAGTTAAAAAAGATCCATTTTAAGTGACTAAAATCATCATTCTTTTATCAATTGTCAATTGGTAGCGAATCGATTACAATAAAAACAAATCAAAGTTAATTCATTATCTATTCCTAATTGATTAAAATGTATGATGTTACTGAACCTAGAATCAACTTTTTGCATCCTTTCTTTTATAAAGACTAGATCTGCATTCGTCACAGCATCATAAAATTTAATTTGATATATGCTTACACTTTTGTCACCGCTTAGCAAAAGGTTAAGAAATGCTACACCGTGCTTTAGAAAGCTAGTAGCTTCGGAGACCTTGAATATTTTTCGTGTAGCTTTCTCTTATCATACTTTGTAATAAAACATTATAGAATGTTTGAAGAGAATTTTACAGTATATATCTTTCACCATGAAGTTAGATGACAATTAATAACATTATATAAATAGTAAAATTTCGTACAAAAAGCTGTTTATGACTTCTGGACCATCCGATTTTTAATTTTCTAAGGCCTTGTATAAGTAAAAGTGGAAGTAACTATGACTGTCTATATCTAAAAGAAAGGCTATCCTTCAGCTGAATCAAAAAACGCGCGATGCAGTAGGGATGTGTAAATTATATCAACTTTGAACTCTATCCTTTTTCAGAGTTGGTAATGTCTGTGGGTATTGACAATTTCACAGGTACCCACATACATTGAAAATTTTCATTACTGATTAAGAGTTTACGAACTGAACATTGATGATACGTAGACAAAATAAAAACAGCTAAGATAGTCAACTTGTGGAAGATATCTGATTTTTGTTCAAAAATATTTTCATTGAATTTCTTACGCCAGATCACAATTTCACTCAACGTATCGGGATCAAGAGAGAGACAGAATTCAATCAGTGGTAAATCTGCAACAGAAAAAGGATTTAGAATCATTGAATTTAACTAAAATTGAGAAGCATGACAAGTAGATAATGATAACTATGAAAATTTGTGCTCATCTTCTCTTCAGAATGGTAAGGGTATTGATCTCCTATAAGTATCTTTAATACTCATTCCTCAGTATTTGTCTGATTCACCGCGCTTAAATGTGATTTTTTGAAAACTAATGAAGGTTGTATCTATTTGCTAACAAAATCATGAAATTCTCAGATGAAACTTTGATTTCAAAGAAAAAGTAGACAGGCCAGGCGGCCTGTCATTTTCAAGCGGCCTGCCTGTGACAAGCCCAGGCAGGCAGGCAGACCTCGTGGCCTGTTTGGACCTCTGCATGGTATTAACGTTAGTAGAATTACCAGAAGGACTTATAGTGCTCGTAGAAGTTGTTGTTGTTGTAGTTGTTGTTGTAGTTGTTGTTGTTGTAGCTGTTGTTGTAGTTGTTGTTGTTGAAGTTGTTGTTGTAGTTGTTGTTGTTGTAGTTGTGGTTGTAGTTGTTGTTGTTGTAGTAGTAGTAGTTGTTGTTGCTGTTGTTGTTTCTGTTGTTGTTGTTGTTGTTGTTGTTGTTGCTGTTGTTGTTTCTGTTGTTGTTGTTGTTGTTGTTGTTTCTGTTGTTGTTGTTGTGGTTATTGTTGTTATTTCTGTTGTTGTTAGCTTGGCTTTGACCAATAATTCAATAGCAATTATAGCAATTGCGGCGCCAACAAATAGAATACTCAGTACCGAGAAAAACAAACAACAAGGGGAGCATATGCAAAGATAACCACCAAAAAGTCTATAGAAAACGTTTGATGTTTATAGAAAAATATATGAATAACAGACCTTCGTCTTTTGTGTTTCTTCTTCCTGTTTTGTTTTCGAGGAGCATCTTGCATAAAAGTTCTTCCACTTAATCGTCCAGAAGAGTGCTTTCACAGAAAAAAGTTTAATGCTTGAAAAGAAAAAAAACTCACTGAGTTGAGATCATGAACTTTGGAAGAACGTAGAGCAGGTTTATGTGCCATTAATTGAGGTGCGCCATTAGCGGTATCAGATATGATCGCTATTGGTCGAATTCTCTGGTTAAAATTTTCTAATTGAAACTGCAGTATCTGATGGTGGGGTTAGTAAGGATTTTCTCGAGCGGCGGTATGTAATACTACGGTGAATAGCTATTTTTCAAATTGTGATGACCTTAATATAAACGCGGTGTCTACTGCGGGAGCTCGTGGCGATTTTCGATAGCACGATTGCCCTGCTTGACATGACGGTACTGTGTAATACAATGAGTAGGTATTGTTTAAATGACGGCGATCTCAGTGGTATCCGTGGTATCTGATTCTGGAGTTTTTAAACGTGCAAAATACTTTGACGAAATTACCTATAGTCAATGCTCGTCAACATGAGTCATTTAGTAGATATTTTTCAGTGAAGTCCTAGTTGGTCACACCGCAGTGTTCATTTGAGCAACGACAATTCTTGAGGTTCATTTGCATCTAATTTTCAACGTGGTGTTTACATATTTCGCGCAGTACCTATTGAAGTATGAAGTAAAGTGTAAGAACAACAAGGGTGTCGTGCACAGCTATTTCTAGAATATGCTTTTAAAGTTTTGTTTTGAGAATTATATCCCTACAAAACGACTTCATGGTAATGAAACTTGTTCAATTTCACTATACTGGTCCTCGAAGGGCAGCTTACCTGACTTTTACTAAAAGGTCAAGTAGGTCCAGCCATCTTGCGACAAGTTCGCTGAGCCAGTGTACGCTCATCAAAAATTGCGATACGAGCAGCCGTGCACGTCAGGCCATCTATCCAGTTTTCAATACCGTTTCACAACATATCATAAAGAAACCGTAGTTGTAGGTGATTTTTAGCAAACGCGAAAGTGAAATCTTTTATTCTGTATTTTGAAATGTCTCTTAGTACTTGCTTAAAGAATGTAGAATTCATTTTGCCTTGCTTCAACGAAAAGACTTCGTTCACTTGGCAAACTGTAAGAACATAAATTATTATGTTCGTGTTTTTTTCTCCATATAAAGCTTCGATATTTTTTTATTAATCAGTAAACACTACCAACATTCTTCTCTTATGATAGACAGCGTAAGTAAGAAAATTTCTAGTTGAATTTTAGTTAAGAGCTGTTGTATGTCGAAACTCTCGATATTATTTCAATTATGTTAGAAGTTTTAATAACTGTGAAAAAAACTTTCTCAACGTTTCTTTGAGTTTCTACGAATCTTTTATTGTCTAGTATTCAATGTTAATATGGTGGTCAATGGTGATGCTGAAACAGGTCCCTGCGCGACTGATGGAAATGTCACTCGGCCTACAGGATGGAACTACGATGGAGACATCACACAACTAGCTTACAACAACAGTTACATCTACAACAGAGTAAACACTATTCCTGCGACCGCGTAAGATGAATAACAAGTTTCTTTTATCAATTTTGTTTCTTCAGTAAACCAGGTCGTTGCTTATTCTACGGACAAACATCAGCAAACACATCAATGTGGCAAACAATCAATCTGACTGATTACGCTGATTCTTCTCTTATCGATAGTGAGACAGTGAAATTTAATCTTTCAGCATGGCTTGGTGGCTATGTGCATCATAATGATAGGGCTGCAGTTTCATTGACTTTCGATGATCAAGCCAATCATATGGTAGGAAATGTGACCAGTATTGGACCTGTTGACAATGTTGATCGAAGCAATGTAACATCATTTCTCTTTCAGTATACGACTGGATTGGTGCCTGCCGGGGCTCGTTCAGTAACAGTGCTTGTCGTAATTACTCGTGCTATTGGACCTATCAATGATGGCTATGCCGATGACATCGGTGTCTTCTTATACCAATAATGACAAAAAACTAAATTTCCGTCATCATACAAAATTCTTATATACTAAATTGATTTTTGTTGTCAAAAAAACAACATTATCTGATCTATCTTTTGTTCCACGGCAGTGCTTAAAGCATGAATTAGTACTCGAGAAAAAAGAAATACACATGCGCACAGAGTGATATGAATAAATATATTGTAATGAAAACTGTTACCCAAAGAAAATATTCTAAATAATTAGATTGAATTTAGGTTTCATTCGAGAACAAAATGCAGTGTAAATCTTCCAATATTGATTATCAATAAAGGGTGGAGTGCAGGCGTGGGTCTTAGTCGTTGTTAATCGATACCCACACCCAAGAGTAGATCTTGTTGTATTACAATATGCCCTCATCCTTCTTTTCCTCTTTCTTTTCGTATTCATCTTCTATTTTACCGATAAAAACATCAAGTTCGTTCATCTGATCATTGATAATATCAGGATTATCTATTACTACAGTAGAAGTATCGCCTATTAATTCATTTATCGTGTCATTGAGCACCATGGTTGAGTGGCTTTGCGTTCGGCATGTAATCACTAGGTACTGATTTCAAATCTCAGTACGGCCAGTCATGAAATAAGCCTGGACACGTCACTTACGCTCTATTGTCTCGGATCATTCAGCCAATAGCATAATCACGAAGAATGTCGGTGTCCGGTGTGGATAGATAGAAACCCACATCGACACCATCCCACACCCACACTCTCGGCCGAACAATTACCGGCTAATCATAAACTGCATTGTGAGCCAGAGAGTATGTAGCATTTTAGCTTCCTATCGCGATAATCATCTCGATTGTATCCTCACACCCAGATTGTGATTATAAAATTCAGAGATTCAAGGCCTTACCCTTGTCCATGACCGTACCACAATCACAATCGAACATCATCAACCTAGTTTGCTATCTTTGCAGATCCGTAGTTTAATGTCATTGCTGGTAAAGAATGATTTGGTTCAAACCCAGTTGAAATATACACTGTTCGATGTAGTTTCTTGTGTTGATTCCGAATATGCCATTATTTTGGTGTGGAGTGTGGGTGTGGATGAGTGTGCGTGTGGGTGTGGCTGTGGGTGGGTATGGGTGTGGGTGAGGGTGTGGGTCTGGGTGGCTGTGGATGTGTGGTCCAGATGATGATCCTTCAGTCAGTCACATACCCACACCCACACCCCTTTCTTCCCTAATACTATTCTTTTAATATTTCTGTTTTTTCAATTTTGTTTCTCCGATTTTAATACCCACAGGCTTGGGTTCGTCACAAAATAAAGAGTCTGATCACCTCTATAACTTAAGAGGGCCAAAATTTTGGTTTTTAAGATTGCTATCCGATGATATTTAATTGTTTTATTGCATGCACTTCATTCTTGTCAGACCCCATAAGATATGCTTGAGAAACACAAAATAGTAGAACCAAAATAGAATCCGACTCTATTCTGCTATAGTGCTAAGTCTGTTTTTCATTTTAAAACCAATTTAGGCTCCCTAGTTTTTGAAATAGTAGAGAAATTTGGGAAATGCAGGAATGGATATTTTGGCCCTAAATCTTGAACAAAAATATGGGCGGACTCAATATTTCGACCTGAAATTTTCTGTGACATATTTAGTTCAGAATATATATTTACTTAAATTTTGAACAAGACTGGATGATTGAAACCTAAAACAAAAATTCGGTTTGAGGGGCTTACTTGAGATCTAACTGGTTCGGCATAGTATTATTTGGTGTTAATATTGTCGTATTTCTGATAGAAATTAGACAATAAAATATTCATTTATAATTGCTAGTGTCATATTTCCAATGAAATATGGACAATTAAAAATGCATAAAAAATTATTATTGTTGTAATTCCAAGAGAATTTCGACAATAAAAGAAATTCAACATTGCCAAAGTTGCGTAAAACCTGTGTATCTGTTCCGCTTTTGTTTTTAGTAAAGAAAACTAACTGAACTCATACCACACACTTTTTTAAAGATTTAACTATTTTCTCACGAAAAAAATAGGAATCGTGACAGGATTCTGATCGGATCTCTAATGGATCCAGACAACTATTCTTTGATTTTTTTCCTTTTTTTTAATCTGTATTTTTTTTAGAAAAAAAAATAAATACAATATTATACACGAATTTTTCGATTTTTGTCACTGATTACTTTTGGAGTGATTCTTGATCTAATGATTGCAGTTGACTGCGCTTGAACTTCTTGCTGTTGTTCATCAATACTTAACATTGTTGCTTTTTTCTGTGGCAACGGAGCTCTATTACTCTTATACTGCTTCCGTTCTAAAGCACATAGGATCACATAGGTATGTCGAAGTAAAATATCATTATCAACTTGAAAAGTTGCTAGATCAGCATCAGTGATAGGATCACTCCATAGATATGTTCGTTCAAGATACACTTGTAATCGTTCATCAAGTTCGATATTTGCATTCAGAATGCGTATCATCAAACGTTTGAGCATTGAAATCCACCTATCAATATTTTTCAACAGAGGAGAAATAGTTTGTTTTTCATATGTATCATGTGAAAATTGTTTAATGACGCGTTGGCACTCATCATCTGTAAATATTGTTTCCTGAAGTTCAATTTTAACATAAGCACGTAAAGCTCGATCAAAAACGCTTTCTTCAACTATTTCATATAAATCGATAATATATTGCAATTGAACTGTAGAAAATGGCTCTCGATAAAGAATTTTATTATCCAAAAATCTAGGCGAATGCATATAATGTTGAACAAAGTTTTGAAACGGTATTTCTTCTAAAGTACTATCTAGTATACTTGTTCTCAAATAAGTAAAAACATAATCGAGTGAACCAAGATGATTGAGCATATCATCATTATTCATTCCGACAGTGAGATTTTGAAATTTATTTCGATCATCATTTGATAATCTTTTTTGTTTGATTCTCACACGAACATTATTGACCAACGATGCATTTTCTCCATACAAGTCAAATTGATAATTGAGACAACGTAATCGATCAGTATTGATTAAAACTAATGAACTGATCATATTTCGCAGATAGATTTCAATTTCATCATAATTATAAATAATATCTCGACTTTTTCCATATTGATAATTAAGAACAAGACAATCATCAATTAATTTTTTACTCAGACTATTTCGATCAAGATGAAGAATATGTTCTAATCGAATAGATTGAAGTGGTATACGTTTTCGTTCAGTCTTTTTTTTTAATACTATATTCGATAGTATCATAAAAATAATTAACAATTGCGTTTTGTAATTTAGCAAGTGTTTTGAGACATGGAATAAGATGAAGATTACTCTGATTGCTTGATGTATTCAATAGAAGTGCATTAATACTTATACTTTCAGCGAATTTCTCTTTTGAAATAGTCTTTTCGAATTTTATTATTTGATTATCATGATGAATTTCTTTTAAATTTAATGCATACCAAGCATCTAAAAAATCATTATAAAGTTGATTTGTTCTATGTTTATCTTTATCTTTAGTTAAATAATAAAGAATTTTCTTTTCAGTTGCATCATTTCGATTGATTCGATAGTTAAATTTTTCAATAAGATAATTGGTAAAAATAACAATAGGATAAATATGTTGAATATTAATATAATCATCGAGACGTTTCAGAATAAATGTCGTAATTGGATATGTATTTTCCGTATATGGAATTGATTGTATTTTAAAGATAAATTCATTTAAAGGATCAAATTTATAAGGGTGTGGGTGTGGGTGTGGGTGTGGGTGTGGGTGGGTGTGATGTGGGTGTGGGTGCAGATGACGAGAAAATACCAATTCACACCGACATCTGGACTCCACGCCCACACTCACACTCACACCCACACCCTCACTCACACCCACACCCACACCCATATCCACACCCTCATAGTAAGCTTGTGCGAGACCATTGATAATAATAGAATTAAAACCAATGAGTCGTCTCTTTGCTTGTTGTTCCATACTTTTAACTATGGTTTTACCGATGAGTTAAAGATCTCGTACATCTGGATCAAGAGTCGATAGATATAAAGCACGATTCATTTTCAAAGCATCAAGTCGCCAATTTGAAATACCAACAAATCCATATTTATTATTTTCAACTTCAATTTCAGCATGTAATATTTTTAGTGGATTATATGGAGAAAGTTCAGCAAGACCAATTTCATCGAAAACAATTACAGGCAATAATTCGGAACAATTTTGTTACATGATTATAATTATCAGCTCGTTCAAAAACTTTAATTATACTCTCCGATGTACAACTTTGTCAACCTTGAAAATAAACAGTAACTAATTCAGGTAGTGTTTGAAAATATGAATCTTTTGACATTTTTCCTTTGAGATTATTGATTAATATTTGAACTGCTGATGATTTACTACTACCAGGTTTACCACACATAAACAGTGGAATATGATTGATAATGCAAGCTAGAAGAACGAATATATTATCACGTAATTCACGATTCCATGCTGTACCTTTCGGTAACTTCATCTTATTATCAATTAAGTTTTTCTGTTCATGTTCAAGAACATCTTTCATTAAGTACTTATGAATATTTTTAGGTTTTGGATACCATTTTTCAATTATCAATTGCATTTTATCAATATAGATGTTTTTTAATTTAATCGAGTGTAATCGAAAGTAGTAACATAGTAATAATGCAACAAAACTTGCTCGATGAGGAAAATAATGCATTTCACTTTTAGATAATTTTACACATGCAATTTGATTTAATAAATCGAGATACCAATTATACAATCGACAAAAACGAGCAATATCACGTAAACTTACACTACTAGCATCTTCTAAATCTCGAAAGTGAATGTGAGAGTGAACAAGAAGAGTAACGATTAGATTAAATAGTCTTTGATTCGATGAGAGCTCACAACATGTATTTAAACATTGTTCTAATATAAGAAGTTTCAGTTAATTTATTTAAATAACCATAGTTCCATATATATTCAAGCATTGTTTCTGGAATAGGTACAACAGTATGTAGAAGACATCGATCAAAACCTGTTCCAAGTAATTTCTGACGAGTTTTTCGTATTCCAATATGATCATCTTCATTAATGATAATCTTAAGTGTTTTCTTACGACGTGGATTACAAACTCCTAGAAAGATCATGTTTGCTGGTAGAGGTAAACCTAATAGAGTTCTTTCATATATAATTTCTTTGAGAAGAGCAATATTAGTTGTTGTATTAAATTCATCGAAAAAAATCCATAAATGTTTTCCTTTTTCAGCACTGGTTTTAGCTTTTGTAATACAAAGTTGCATTATTTCAATGATTTTCTTAGCTGTAAAACCTGTATGTACACGAATAACTTCGAGATCGTCATCTAAAATCTTTTGACATAAGAATTGAATCAATATTGTCTTTCCACATCCTATCAAAACAAATCGATTATTAAGGATATGAACATAGAAATCATTCTCTTACCTGTCTCGCCCATAATCAGAACAGGTATACCACATTGTACTCGCATGTAGATCAAGAGCATTTTAATAAAATTATCCTCAGTAAGAACATATTCATTTCGACAACGCTTAGCAATATTAGTTTGAAATGATAAAACATCAGTATTATTAAATGTTTTCGGTTGAATGAGTATATTGTTAATGGAACATATTTGACAATGTTGTTCACCGATTTCATACTGTCGAAAACAATTTGGACATATAGCTTTATTTAAATATTTTTGTGAAAGAGAAGCTAATCGAATGAAAAATTCAGTATGACTAAGTTTTGTATAATCAGGAAACATGTCTTTTTCTTTATTATCTTTATTTGCTTTAGAGTAGGCTTCAAAATATTTGACAAGTGCGGCAGATACATCAGCTGGTTTCTTATAAACAAAGATTGGATCATCCGTAACTGTAAAAACTAAAGTGAAAGGTTCCATTTTATCCCAACGAATAATAGCATCACTGAATTCTGTCGTTTCATTGTTGGTGACTGATCATTGTTGTCGACGAATAGCTTCTACCGAAAGTGACGTAAATTGATTTGATGATTGCAGAAGAGTCTGAGCAAGATCCATTCGAATTGTTTTATTTGGAACATATTTACAAAGAAAATAATCACGTCGTGAAAAACCTGTAAATAAACGATAGAATACAGCTATAAAAATTGACAATTGAGTCCAATTAATAAATTCTGTATTCTTATTTTTGAGAAATGATTTTTGAATAAGACTAGATCATGTTTCTTGATCAAAAGTTTTGAAATTTGAAGGATTTACATTGTTATTCACAATAGTTCCACTATTGATTTCATGTAAATAATTTACTACTGTCTGAATTTGGATATTGTCAATAATGAGATTTGTCCAGTAAATGTGATCAAAATGGACAAACTGTTTTAATATGACGAAATAATAAAATTTCAGATAGTGAAGAATCAGGTGATGCATCGATTTCAATATAGATAGGAGTTTCTCTTGGTAATGATTTTGTGACAGTCTGACGAATAAAAGTCGATTTTCCTAGACCAGTTAATTTTGATGTCACAAGTGTACATTCACGAATCAATGATTTTATTTCTTCATTTAAATCATTTTGATTTAATAGTTCATGATCACGAAAAATCTTTAGAATATCCATAGATCGAAGTCCAGTGATCATCTGTTGTTCTATTGATGCAGTTGTTGTGATGATGCCCATTTGGAAAAAATAATGAGGTTTTTGATTAATTAATGAACGTAGTAAACAAATAAATTGATCTTGTATCGATTGAGAGAGAAGTTCAGGTCGAATGAGTTGATGTAATGTTTGTGAATAGAAACAACGATAGATAAAAGCACGAAATTTGCATTCAATTAGTACGCGAGGTACAATAGAAAATACGATGAACTTTAGCTGGAGTTATCGTCAATGAAAAGAGAGAAAGAATAGCTCAAAGTATTTCTTCGTTGTTTGTTTCAATAAGAAGACATTTTTTTATTCCAGGATCTTTTTCTTCTCGAAACGGGAATATTTGCTGTCGTGGAAACCAACGTGTAAGATTTTTTAATCGATTTTCAAATTCTTGTCGTTGTTCACATGGCTGAGGTAATGAATTCGGTTCAATATCAATGAACTTGAGAAGATGATAACCTGAATGAGAAAATGATGATCGATTATAGATATAATCTTCGATTTGCCAGAATTGATCACCTATGAAATAAGTCAATGTGATGTCTTGCTGGTAAATATCACACAATTTCTTTTCCCAATCTTCAAATAAACGACTTAGCATAATATTATTATGTTGTAAATCATCATAGACTCCATCAATAGA